TATATATATATATATATATATATATATATATATATATATGAGAAAGGTGACTTCCTCTACAAAGAAAGGCAATGCTTCTTCAATATCGGCAAAGCCTCATTTATAGAGAGAAACACTATAAATGTGCCTCATGTAAATTGAGAGGTTAGTTTTTTGCAAAGAACAGGTTCTAATGAAGATTTTGGGTGGTCCCCTTTTAGAGCGAGAAAATCTTGGTTGTTTTCAAGGTTCTCCTCCTGAACAGTGGTTTAGCTATGGAATCGAGATGGTCTCTTATTGGACTGTGGTTTAGTTATGGGGTCGACAATGGTGCCGATAGGGAGACTGGGTTTAAAAGGGTTTACTTGACTGGGTTTTGTCGAAGATTAGAGAGCTAACTCTTTGTTTCAAAATATGTGATGTAACTTTTCATTTGTATGGTGGATTTCAGTTGGTATAGTGGATTTCAGTTTGTCACGCCTATAGATGTAGCCCTCTTAGAGTGAACCACATAAATCTTTATGTTGTTGTGGTGTGTGTTTTATGCTGTATCTCCGGTATTATGGCTTGTGATCTTACCTATTTTGTTTTTAGCTGGATAAGTATACGATCTTGATGGGATCCAATATTTGGGATTCCTGTTTTGACTTCTAAGAGGGTTTTTAAATCCTAACAATAAGCCTTTTCATAACTTATCACATGAGCTTTCTTTTCATTTTTAAAATTTTCAAATTCCAAATTTAAAAGAAATTTTGAGGGTTTGTGGACCTTATTGGGGAACTTCTATAAACAATATAAAAATGAAAATTGTTTTATGTGGGCTGGACCGCATTTCTACGTATGCAGTCGAGAAAGTGTAAAGCATCCATCTTAAAGATGGATGCAAGTAGATGTTCTATCTGAAAACAATGGAAACTAACGGTCCAAATGTTTTGTTACTAGAATTAGTATTTTTAGTTTTTGTAAGTTATTTATTTATTCATATTCATGATCTCCATGTTAGATAAAATCACTAAAATTCTCCTCCAATTTTCATGTATATTTTGGCTATTTTATGTTTTTGAAGAATTGTAGTTTTTACTACGTATGAGGGTTAAAGAGTGGACACGCCAAGTATAGCTTAATCTCATATACATAAAAGAAGATAAATTCAAAGACTTACACATGCTTTCAACCATCTAATTACGATTGGTAGCTTTTAGGTGAACCGCATTGTGTACTATTAGGTCATTTTGAAAATATTAACCTTGCTTTCCTCTATTTTTATTTTTCCAATATCAAGAAATTTGGATTGCCCGTGCACCTCATTCAAGGGCATCTGTATAAAATATAAAAAGTATTAAATTAAATAACTAAAATACCTCTTAAAATTTAAAAAGTATTTTGGTCATTTTATTTTTTTATTTTTTTATACTTTATATAGGTGCATAAGGGTTGAGAATTAATGGATGCCTAAAAATTTAGTTAAATACAGTATATATAATAAAAAATAAAATTAAAATACACTAACATGATCTCAATAGTCTATTTTGTGTGTGACCCATAACAATATTACTTTTTAAACATGATCTAGACTACCAACTTTTTAAACCCATGGATGAGCTATGATTTGAAAATCCAATTCAATTAGAAAACATCACCTCTCATCAATGATAACTTCACTAAACAATTAAAAATAGCTAATTGCTAGACCTTTGGTTATCCAGAATTCCATTTTCAATCAAGTACATGAATTTCTAGAAATTCCAGACATGTTATCAAAAACAATACTTTCCAGTTCTAGATAGGAATACTTTTAGGTTTCAAACCTCCCAACTTCCCAGTTTTCATAGAAGTTTTCCATTCTCGTTGTCAAACATGCCTTTGGTGAATCATTTGTGACTCACGAAAAAAAAAAAAAAGGTTTGGAAGATACATTAATGGTATGCAAGGGAACTTCAGTAAGAGACCTCCCATAGGGCTTAGGGACGACTCACTGCAATAACCTGACATTCATGAATGGCAAATATCAAGGATCGGCCATGGGCCATTTACCTTCCACAGTACAACTGGTTATCAAAACCACCTTTGGTTCTTGTGAAACCATTGAGAAAAACCGCTTAAGCACTGGTAGAAAACCTTGGGAAACAAAAAAATGTTTAGGCCCTTGTTTGGAAAAATATTATAGTGAAAATCCCTTACAAAATTTATCAATGGAATCAAAAGATCTCAATTAATAGAAGGTAATTCACTTTTTACTCGAGTAAAATGATTTTTTTGAAAAAAAAAGTTTATATAAGGTTGAGGCTCCAAACAATCAAATTAAGGGAAGCATAAAAAATTCACTAAAAGAGGTTATTTCAATGTTAGAAAGCCCTCGAATTCGTTCATCTCGACCTCAAGTTGTATGGACATGAGAAAAAATAGACATCAAGTATTCGAAATGGTGCATCTTATACTATCAATTTTCAAGTATTCATAGATCTGCTACATTTACACTATTTTTGAATTTTTAAATTTTATAATTAAATATGAAAATAAATTTGGGTGTAGTTTCTATAAGGTTGCAACCATAAACAATCCAATTACGGCGTACCTCCAAATTTTATCATAACATGTAAATTTTGGTGTAAAAAATTATTAGGATTATCTGAAAATCTATTTTCATATCTAATTATAAAATTTTAAACTCAAAAAAATGGTTAGAAGCTAGTAGATATATAAACATATGAAAATCTTGAAAATCGACGGTCTGGATAATGTGTTGCAAGATGCACTATTTCTATGAGTTAAAATCTTTTTTTTTTTCATATCCATGCATCTCGATGTCGAGATGATGAATTGGAGGGTTTTTCAACATTAAAACAACATTTTCCGATAGATTTTTGAGATGCATATGTAATTCTACATTTTAAGGTTGCAACCTTATATAAACTTTTTCCAATAAATTTTCAGGCTAGCATAAAAAATTGTTATACTAAAACAATATATTTTGGCACTATTTTAAGTTGCGCCTTACTTTAATTGTATAGGGCCTCAACTTTATACAAAACACACACAGGAAACTAACCATTTAATGTTAATTGGATCTTTTAACCCCTTAACGATTTTGTAAAGGGTTTTAATCCTTTATCCTTTAAATGATTTT